ATTAGAAATTTATTTATATAATTCCAACTTAGTTGCACTGATGCCAGGAAAAGAAACTTTATTTGTAGTTAAATAATGTAAGAATGTTATATGTTAGGTGTGCATCTCAAGTTTTGTGATCTGAATTAAATGGTCATGGCTTGAAAAAAATTGTAATGATTAATTTCACTTTTACTTTCTACCTTAGCCCAAAAAACGATTATACTGCAGGAGAATAACAATAGCCAAAGATCCTAAAAGCAGCTGCATTTTGATTTTCATTCACAGTTACTAAGTTAGCCCAAAATCAATCTCCTTCTCAACCTCTGACTTAGAATCCAAAGTCATTTTACCACACTTTCTATGGTAGAAATAAAACAGCATGAGTAGTTGGGCTACAGAATTTCTACAAGATATATTTTACTTGTTGGTTTGTGGTAATAAGCTCTGGGGAGTTAAATAAATAAAATGAGTGGTGAGTTTAAGCCTAAAAAGTTGTAAATTTCTGGATGGTTTCTCTATTTCCTTAAGTGGGTACGCCAAAGAGTTTTTTCTGGTCAACTGCCCTCCTTAGAGAAGATATATAAAATCTTAACAAATAATAGCCATCATTAATATACTTGGCCTCAGAAATACTCTTAGCATGTACAGTGCTAAGTGTCTTAGATATATTCTTAGATTTCATTTTCTCAACAATATAATTAGCTCAACTAAGATCTTATATTAGTTCTGTATTTGTTGTATTGCAGTGGTTAACATGAAAGTGGTTACTATCATATGAAACAGTTACCAATAAATTACGCCTCTTAGACAAACATTGCTCCATTCCTACTTGCATATATCCCAATGCAACAGCCAAAGGTTTTGTTCCTCAATTTCTTGTTAATTTCATCAACTACCACAATGAAATCCAACCTATATCATGTCTATAAATCTTCTAAAGATGTAAATTCTATGAAATTCACAGAAGATATACTACAACAGTTTAAATCACAGGAAAAAAGCATTGATGAATGAAGATCTGACAGAAATAAGAGTAGATAACAAGTGAACAACAGAAAATCAACAAACTATTGACAAGACAGGTTGTTTTTCTTATTTATTTAAATATTTGAATGAATTTTATTGAGAAAAAAATAGCAATGAAACAGTTTCAAAACAGGTTAGTAGGACAGTTACAATAATTAATACATTACATATTGTTGTCTTCATAGTAGTTATTCATAGTACAGAATGCAGACATGATATCTTGACTAAGCACTGTTAGTACAAATCTTTCTTCTCATTGAACTAAGAGAAAATAGCTTTGTATCTACCTATTTTGCATGTTGTTTTTTAAAATTATTTTTATTCTTTAAAGGTACAAATTAGAATTAAAACAGAAAAAGTTATAAGTGATACAAAATTTCACATAACAAAGTAACATGAGTTTCACAGTATTTGTTGTAATACATAGTGTTGTCTTCCAACCAGTTCATATTACCAGATGTATGCATGTAAAATTGGAAGAGACAGGAAAAAAAAGCAAGAATATATAAAAAACTAAGAAGAGAAAAAGTACACACAATGAAAAAATGTAATGAAACAAATTGAAGCATTAACTCCTTTACATAAAACAGCACAAATGCACAGAGCAGTTGTCCAAATCATTCTGCTTACCATACATAGATAAATCTTTCTACCCCACTCCCTCTCTGTCCTTCTCCTCAGCTAAGTAGCTCCTTTTGAATAAATTCATTTCCTTTTCCCAGTATCTATTGTATCTTTCAGACTCCACTTTTCTCTTTCAGATTCTCATACTAAGCAGACAATATGATGTTTGCACGTGTGGGTCCAATTTATTTCACTTAAGAGTAGGTTCTCTAGTTGTACCTATTTACTGACAAAAGGCTCAAATATATCCTTTTCATAGTTGAATAATACTCCATTTATAAAAATGTCACATCTTCTTTATACATTCTTCAGTTGGTGGACATATGAGTTATTTCCAGGATTTAGCTATGGGAAATTGGGCTGCTATAAATGGGTGCACATATATTGCTGTGTGTAGTGGTTGGTTGATTGTGTCAACTTGAGAAGCTAAGAGTTTAACTAAATTATCTCAGTAATATCACACCATAGGGTATGGAGGCCACACTGTAGAGTAGCTCATCACTTAAAGAAGAATGAGGAAGGATGGCAGCCCCCTTTCTTCCTCGGAGGAGCTCAAGTCTTCGTCATCACCTTGGACATCATCTCCTGCTTCTAGTGCAGACTCTTGGTTTCTGCTTTGGAGCCTTCAGTCTTCTGGTATAGATTCATTGTCCTTCTGTTGCAGATCCATCAGCATCCAGATAAGAACTTGCACAGAACACTGTTGTGGGCTCCAGACCTTGAACTGAACCTTTCAGTCTCCTGTGTGCAGACACCCTCTACATGCTTCCTCATCTTACTCTTTGGCTGAC